GATAGGAAAAGGCGAAACTTTTATTAGAAATGAACAGAAAGCTAAAATTACATAAAATATTCCACTGGAGTGCCAGACACTGTAACTTCACGATGGAGGAAGCATGGCTTGAGAGCACCATCTGTAAATAAAGCAGGCTTATGGGAAATAGCAGGGAAATGTGGCTGCCAAAAAAAATGCCACACGGGCTTCTGCTCTTTTCATAGAAGCAGGATGTCTCAGACAAGGCGAGACTCTGCCACTCCACTCCGCCACTCACATCTTATCACACCCGATTTCCTTTCTGAACACCTCATTTTTAGAAGGTAGTGCACAAACTGGGACATGGTCAGGGAGCAAGGAGGAGAGTGAGGGAAGTTGAAATCGTGCCTTGCAAGAACTTGGCCTTCCTGGCTGGTGTGTCTCAGTGGTTGAGCATCGACCTATGAACCGGGAGCTCACAGTTCAATTCCTGTTCAGGGCACATGCCTGGGTTGCAGGCTCAATCCCTAGTAGGGAGTGTGCAAGAGGCAGCTAATCAATGATTCTCTCTCATCATTGATGTTTCTATCTCTCCCACCCTCTCCCTTCCTCTCTGAAATAAATAAAAATATATTTTAAAAAAAGAACTTGGCCTAAGGAAAACTCAGGGGACAGAGATAGTTTTCATGGGAAAGTACATAGCACCCAGAGGAGTTTATGGTCATGAGGGAAGTAGATGTGATGTGGAAAATAAGATCTCCTGAAACGGTAGGCTTGCGTTAGTTCTCAAGTCAGGAAAGCCAGGGGTTGGGTGCAAGCCATTCTGGAGGAGGCCATTTGCCACAAAGAGCTGCTGCTCTGCCTCTCGCCCAGCATCTGGCCACCACAGACGCCATTCTGCAGCCCCACTACTCATCATAGCCGGGTGTGGTCTCCACAGATCATCCTTCTCCCACACTGTCCTCACCAACTCCCACCACTGCCCTCTGAGCCAGGTGTGGAGCCAAAACAGAGGTGTCCCCTGCCTCCTTCCACCGGAGGCTCTCCCTCCCAACCCAAACAGCCACCAGTGGGCATTGACTTTTAGAAACTTGATTCGTTTTCTAAATTGCATTGAAAGGTTTTAAAATAGTAGAAGCCTGAAGAGAAAACATATGATGAGACTTTTCTCCCTCGCCAATGAAATTCATGGATTTCAGCCACCTCTCTAGAGAAACTAGATATTATCCCCATCCCTGCACCCTTTTTCTTGCTTTGTGTTTTTGAGGTAATTGGTTGCCTCCAAATTACTATGTCTGGTGAAGTTTTTATGTCTCATTGATTCTATGACCCTGATATTTTCTAGAGGCTGCTGGTGTCAATTTGAGAGACAGCTAGAGTAGTGAATAGAAGATAGGCCTCAGCATCAGAAAAGTCTGAAGTCAAATCCTTGCTCTCCTGCTTTCCAGCTGCGTGACCTTGAGCAAGTTAATATATATGGTGATCTGTATTAATCAATGAATGTTGGTAGACCACCTGCTCTGATGCTAAGCTCTGCATTTGTTTCAGTAGCAAAGATCACGAAAAATGTTAAAGAGAAAAACAGTCTCAGGATATATGAGATTTTGATATTGTCGCATATACCAAAAAGCTTTCCTCATGGTAGGAATAGTGAAAATAAGAACTCCAGACTGTCTTATCCCAGACAGATAACTAGTATAAAGTTCCCAGGAGAAACTACTTCATGTTGATTCAGCTGGTAATTTCCTTCCTTTGTTCTCATTCTCTTTTCTACCTTCCTTTCTACTTGGCCTTTGTTTATGGAGGAATGTCGTACAAGGATGCTCTTCATGCGTAATTAAGACAGACCCACAGGTGCTTTACGCAATAACATCCTTTATTCATCTCTGCCCTTAAGGCACTAACAATCTCTTGTGTATGCTATGACCTTTCTCAGGCCTGTGACCTTATACTATAAATGCACAGTGTTATTTAATCCCGTTCTGAACATTTTAACTAAACACTTTAATCTTGTAAAATATTTAATTACTGTTAGTAGAGACCATAAACATGTAATCGTTGCTAAGAAGTTCCTGGCCAACTCATATTTTTCAGTGTACATCACAGATGTCACAACCTCCAGGGAGCGTTCCCTGGCCACTTAGATTTAGTTCATTGTTTCTGCTCTGAGAGCCCTAACTTCCCTATTATGGGAAGTAAGGCAGTGAGGTGTCTATAGGTTTAATTCAGCCCTTGGATCATACAGTCCTAGATTCAAATCTCAGCCCAGCTCTTAGTGGACTTTGGCAAGTTACTTAACCAAAATCCCTCTTTCCTCATCCATAACTTGGGAATAATAAAACAGGGTTAAAGGAGGGCCTCCATTTCAGTGCCTGCACAGTGCCAGGTACATGGCCATCAATCAGTAAGTGTGAGCTGCTGTCATCATCATCATCACCATCATCACCGTCATGACACTTTTATTGTAATTGCTTGTTGAATGTGCTTGTGTTTCTCAATTGACCAGGGACTGTATCTTCTCTGTTTTCCTTTTATCCGCACCTCCAAACATAGTTTCAGACACATATAGAAGTTTAACTTGACTGTTGAGTGGTTGAGGCGAATTTTGGTGGCCCAGATAACAGCAGTGACTGCTGGGGTTCTGCAGTGCCTCCTCCTTAAGATACATAATTTTCACTTTTTACACTCTCTACTATGAGACGAGGCCTAGTTCCTTCAGGAGTGAGTTTACCAGCTCCTAGACCGAGCTGGTGAGTTCAGGTAAAGCCCACAGCATCTCTGGGCTGGAAGGGATTTTCTCAATCTCCCAACCCATCCCTTTCATTTTACCAAGTACATGCTAATACACGGGCTGTTCAGTGGGGTTAGACATGATTGGAGGCTACCGATCTGAGAAGAATTTAGAAGAAAATTGAGTTGGAGCCATATAGCTATTTTTTTAATTTCTTTTTTTTTCATCTATCACCATCTTATTTATGGAATTTACTTTTTATTCCTTAAATACATATAAATAATAAATGCAAAAAATGAGTAATAATTATCCAGAGAATATTACTTCTAAAGAAGGAAAACTGATATTCACTAGAGATGGAAGGAATATCTACCTCATATTAAACAGTTCATTTAGGTAGTGCATTGTAGTCCTGCTCACCGGTTTTCCAATTTTCAACACAAAACATATTTCAAATGAATAATCTGTGACCGCATTGGCACAGATTCTAGGGCTTACCATTTCATGGAGGCCAAAACTTTGCTATAAAAGAGTTATATTTATACCTTCCCTGCAATGTAAAGCGTAAGGCCAGATTCCAGCATGTTTTCTAAGGATTCATGTTCATTTGCATCCATTGCATTACCCAAATGCACCATGGGAGGGCAGCACACACCTGGCTGTATCAGAATCCTTATCTAAATTAGTCCAAAATATTCCTAAATTATCACTTAGAAAATCCTTTACAAAAGATAAAAGGAGGATAAAGGAATTCATCCTTTAAGACTCTGAGTTTCTACAAAAGGGAATCATTGAGCTAATCAAGCTGCAAAATGAGAAAACAAAGAGTTAAAAACAAAAAGAATCCCTCACAGCAGAGAAAACAGAAATATTTGTTACATTTGAAGGACTTTTACTGAGTGTGTAATCTGAATATCAGATAGTAAACAAGAATCAGATCTCATTCCTATTAATAAGCAATAATTAATAAGTTACTCTCCAACAAAGACCACCTTGTTAAAGGGTCCCTTCAATAATGTTCTCCTGAATGAACTCAAACCAAGCCTGCCTTCTATTGTGTTCTACTCTGCATCACAGACAGCTTTAGTATGTTTTCAATATCTTATACAAAAGCATCAGCAACTTTCATGAATTTTGATAGTCTGAAATTCTATAGTCAGGTTTTATTATAATAGAGAATATACTGGCTTTAGAACAAGCGATACTTGGACACAGCTTTGGAATACAGATTTTTTAAATACATTCTCATTAATTCAAGGCTGTAAATCGAGAATTTATCTTAAATATTATCTACATAACATGGGGAAAGAGGCAGGCTAACAAACACATAGTCTAAGCAGTTAGCAAGAGGAAATTTTGCAAATATTTAAGAATAATCGAACTTTTAAGTCTAACTTGAATTTTAACTTTTTTGCCAAATCTTTTTGCAAAAATATAATCTATGTATTTTTAGCCAGCTTCCTTGGTAATTCTAGTGTGGTCGGCCTGGTACCAGTAAAGACTGTTCTTTGATTATTTGAGAACACCCAGTGGTCTTTTTTGGAGTAGATGATTAATGTAACTGATCAGCTAAAGCATGGACTTCTATTAGCTAGCACTTTGTTAACCTAGCATGAGTTATACATTATATACTTTTAAATGGCAAAAATAAAACAAAAGTGGATTTCCCATTCAGATTGGTTTTCTCCATCAGTCCAAGTTACTAACAATTTACACATTCTAAGATTTCTGCTAACCAATTATTTCTTGTGATAAATACAAGAAATCTATTTTCAGAAAACTGTAAAGATGATTTTCTTCCCTGATATCCTTCTATTAGTAATGGGAAAGATTACTTTTCTCAATGCTTTTCTCAGTGTACCTATGGGATTGATACTATGCCCAGCTGTGCTGACAATAAAGTCAGTTACCTGAAATTATTCCATTTTGGAATAGCAGATCTAAGTGCGAAGCAAGTCACTACCATCACGGGCAAGTTCAGAACTTGAAGATTTTTCATTATATTAAAAGACCCTTTACTTTCAGATATATCCAAGCACCAAATATGAATGGCCACATATGTCCTAATGTGCTTGAGAAATCTCATTACTAATTTCGTGTCACTAATTTTTTAATATGGTATTTAAGAAAAAAGTCTTGTCTTTTCTAATGGCATGAATTCAGGGGGGAGGGGGTGTAAATAGCTTAATCCAGATGTTTCTGTGTGAATACACATTCCTCACTAAATCTCTCAGGCAACTGCTTTAGTTACTAACATGATGCTCTGTCGTCTCTTTGTATACATGTCTAATTTATCAGTTTCTTGTAGATTGTCAGCAGCCTGCTGCCTCCGTACCGCCACAGTGCTCACAACTAGCCGGGAGGCAAGACTGCCCGACGGTCAGGTAAATTCAGACGTCCTTTCTCTCCCCACCCAACTGCATGTCAGAGCCATACACCCCAAGCTCCCCTTTTCAACACCATAACCGCCTAGACATCATTTCACTTGCTACCTTTTATTCCAATAGGTGATATGAACACACATTGGTTACCTGAAGTCCATGTGGACCTAATGGAAATCCAAGAGAGCTAGCGTTTGTTTTCCTGGCCGCTAGCAGGACTAGCTATTTGCACTACCCCAGTGTTTCATTATATTCCCAAACAGAAAGCCTGGAATTGTGAGGATGTTGGCCCGACTTTTTGTTTGTTTGTTTGTCCATTGTCCTTAGAATATATTCCTCAGGCAAACAAACAGGAAGGATATAAAGCATATGTAATGTCTGTTCTAAGACAACGTTATGAACGTGTTTCCGTTTTCTGTCCATTCAGTGCCCTCATTAAAGCTGCCATTGAAAGGTGGAGAAAAACTTGTAATTGGCATTTCCAAAAGGAATATTTGCAGTGACAGAGCCCTTCATGCGAGATTAACTGAAGAAATTGAAAGGCAGGTCCCCATGCTCCCTGGACACTCAGCTAGAGAGGGCGCTGGCAGTTTCTACTCCAGGGAAAGCGTTGCCTGTCCATCATGAATTCTCATCCCGGGTGAACTTCCACAGCATGGAGCACCCCGTCAGGACCTCATCCTCCTCCCGTAATATTTCATCTCCAGTTATTTGACCTCTGACGGTGCCAAACTTTTATAGTCTGGCGTGGCTTTTCTACCTGCTGACTGTTCTTGCTTCTACCAGGCCGGGCTTCTTTTGAGTAGGGCAGGCTCGAACGTGCTTCCTTGTGTGTCTGAGGAGTAGGTGTCTGTAGCAGGCTGTGGTGGCTGGGGCTTAGCTGGATGGAGAGTGGGTGGGGGGGTGCCACAGGTGTTGCCCAGAAACAGTGGCCCCAAAGCCCCAGTGTGACTTGGTCCCTGAGGCAGTTGTGCAGCCTGCTAAGTGGGACATTGAGTCAGCAGGAAAAGGGATATGATTAAAGAGGCCCCGCGCCTGGGTCTCCTGATTGCTATCTCAGCCTGCCTCCCCCACCACTTCCAGCAGCAGGGTTTTACTTCAGGAAAGTTCTCCGTGAACGTACAAGTGCCATTAGTCTACCGTAGGCAGCTTAGACTAATTTCAGTTATGTAAGGAAATGCAATTATAAATGTTCAAACCCATCTCAGTCTGTTTTCTGCAGGTAGTGGTGAAGAACATGGGCTCTACACCTGCAGTTCATTCTCCGCCCAGCACCCCCCTCCCAGGGCCTGGGACAGGGTGCCAGGGATGTGACAGGTGCTTAGTAACTACTGCTTCCAGGGAGGAGTGAAGGAGCTTTGAAGTCAGATTGCTTGGGTTTCAATTCCATCTCTAACACATACCAGTTGTGCATTCTTGGAAAGTTACTTTTGCTGGCTGAGTTCCATCTCTTATAAAGGAAGGATGAGAAGGAGGCACAGGCCTGGCCCCCAGTGTGCTCTTGATATCTGATATTGCTGCTAACCGTGCTTAGTGCCTGCCCTTTCCTCAAGACACAGACCTGCCCTCTCTGTAATTAGCGTGGGCAAAGAGTGGAGACGGCTATTGGGGGATATTTTTAACTTTACTTTTATTTCATGTTGCCCTTTTTTTTTTTTTTTTTTTTGAAAGAACCAGTTTGACTAAATGGTTACCTGCCCCAGTCCCATACCTTCTGAAATGACTGAATTTAGATTGCTTGCTACCTCCGCACAAATGATTTACTTAAAAAAAAAAAAGTTAATGAATTGCAAATGTTTCTGGTTTCTACCCACATGAATACAGCATGGTCCCAAGCAGACTTCCACTGTCCCTCATTGTGGTCCACACAGAGAAATGATAAAATGCATTTAGACCTGAAAAGACTGTCCTTTTCTAAGTCGCTGGAATTACGACTGGCTTCCTTCCCACCTATACCCACTGCCAAATGGATCAAATTAAATGTCCTTACTGCCCTTTTCACTTCTTTCTGACAGAAAACTTAACACAGTCAACCTTCAAGTTCTTCCGTACACAAGTGTTAAATTCTTTATACTTATTAATCACTACAACCCCCATAAGGTAAACAGTTATTACACCCATTTGAAAATGAGGAAAATGTGGTTTGGGGAGATAAAATGACTTATCCAGGGTCGCCCATCCTTAAAGCAACTGAGCCCAATGACTCTCCTAACCACCACCATATACCGGGGAACTGCCTGGAGATGCATAACTCCCCCTTTAGTTATGCTGTGAGAAGCAAAGTCAGAGAGTGCTTAAACCACCCATGTTAACTCTTTATCCCTAAATTGAAAAGGTTCATTTGTTCAATGAAAAACAAAACATGCTAAGAATGTTGAGTGATTTCAGATCAGGTGTTCTACTTCTGTTTCTCACTTTAAAAATTGTTTTCTACTTCCTAAAACTTATATATATGTTAGGATAAAATTTTAGGTATATGGTTTTGAATAAAAGAACATGTTCTCATATTTAAAAATATAGAACTTTCCATATATGTGTTTTACAGGCTGATTCCAGTGTAGAGTTAAATTACTAAAGTTGTTTATCCTATATAATAAAAGGCTAATATGCAAATCAACCAGTTGCTATGATGCGTACCAGCCACCAGGGGGGCAGACGCTCAACGCAGGAGCTGCCCCCTGGTGGTCAGTGTGTTCCCACAGAGGGAACACCACTCACCCAGAAGCTGGCTCATGGCTGGCAGTGGCAGGAGCCTCTCCCGCCTCCATGGCAGCACTAAGGGTGTCCAACTGCTGGCTTAGGCCCACTCCCCACATCAGTCAGACATCCCCCGAGGGCTCCCAGACTGCGAGAGGGCGCAGGCCAAGATGAGGGACACCCCCACCCCCGAGTGCATGAATTTCGTGCACTGGGCCTCTAGTAGATAATAAAAACCATAATACGAAAGGGTTACCCAATGTATTGCATTGTTGGATGTAATATTTAAATACATAGAAATATTTGGTATTTCATATTTTTCTCCAAGAACTTGCTTACTTGGGAAAAGAAACCTTTCTGAAGATATATCCATTTTTGTACTTAGTAATAGTCCCTAGACCTACTGTTCACAACATGGTTTTATCTACATAAATTAAACTTGTAAATGGTAAAGACTGAACAATGAGTGAGCTCCTAAAGATATTTAGCAGTCAGAATTGAAACTGAATTCTTTCCTATAGCTAATCATTAGAACCTGTCAAATATTTACATTTTAGAAATAATTTCTTATTCTGTAAACCAAAAATATGCTTCTACCACATATATGCAGTGTGATTGCATTCATGCAAATTTAGAATAGTAATACTATAATACAAGATATTTATAATATCATACCATGTAAGCAATCTGAAGTAATGGAAAAAATTTTTAAATTTTTTCTAATTGTACAATTACAGTTGACATTAAATATTCTGTTCGTTTCAGGTATACAGCATAGTTAGACATTTCTATAATTTACGAAGTATTTCCCCCTATAAGTCTAGTACCCACCTGGCACCATACGTAGTTATTATAATGTTATTGTCTATATTCCCTGTGCTGCACTTTACATCCCTGTGACTATTTTGTAACTGCCAATTTGTACTTCTTAATCCCTTCACCTTGAAAACACTTTTTAAATGATCATGAATGACATAATGCCAAGGTTGGGCTAAGTGAGCGGGACCCTGTGAGTAAGCTGTTGCTACACACCAGCTGGCCAGGCAGAAATGCTTGTCTTCCTTTCTCTATTGAACTACACACGGCCTTCAACATGTATCCCTTGTCCCACTTGCCATTAGCTGAGGAACATGTTTGGTGCCCTGAAAAGAAACTCATTCTAAATCATGTGGATTTAACAGAAAGAAACTCTTTTGGGTCTGTGAGAAAGTCTGTCTGCTGCGGCGTTTCCCGGGCCGTCTGACTGTCTGGAGAGGGGAGAGAGAGTCTTGCCACGAAATATTCCCCCAGTCCTCTTGAAACCAGGTCTCCCCTGTTTACCTACCACGTTTTTAAAATAAATAGGAAAAATCATTTTTATTACTGCTGCTCCCAACTCTACAGGAGAGCATATCTCCTTTTCAACTAAATGTGTGGCAGGTCAAAGACTTTGGGAAGTAAGAGTGACCTCAAGCAGATGGGTATTTGGCATAATTTTGGTTTCGTATCAAAATTCTGATATTTTGAGGCATGCATACCTGAAGGGTCATTTCAGCACCAAAGATTAAAATTGTAGCCCTAACTGGCTTGGCTCAGGGGATAGAGTGTCGGCCTGCGGACTCAAGGGTCCCGGGTTCGATTCCGGTCAAGGGCATGTACTTTGGTTGCGGGCACATACCCAGTAGGGAATGTGCAGGAGGCAGCTGATTGATGTTTCTCTCTCATCAATGTTTCTAGCTCTCTATCTCTCTCCCTTCCTCTCTGTAAAAAAATCAATAAAATATATTTTAAAAAAAATAAAAAAAATAAAATTGTTTTAATGATCATTTTTGACTGACTTCAATGATAATATTAGCTCAAAAGCTATGTATAAATAAGTAAATTATCTATATATATAAACGCCTAATATGCAAAGTGTCCCCTCGAGAGTTCTACCAACCAGGAGTTTGATCTTTCACTATGACATGCACTGACCACCAGGGGGCGACATGGAAAAGGAAGGCCCCGGCCGGCAGCTGGCAGCCATTAAGGACCCTACCTGTGCATGAATTTTGTGCACTGGGCCTCTAGTAATAATAATAACAATGAACCTTGAATAGTTTTCTCAAACATTACTCCTGTCAGAAATGAATTATATGGTACTAAATTCCATAATATAAGGGGAGGGGAAGCAGAGTTATGGGAAAATGCTGATCTCTTTCAATAATACAAATATCCCCACAGTGGGTATTTTTTTTCCCCTCCATTAGATTTCAAAAAAATCTGAACCCAGATTCGATTTGTAGTTTTACCTTAGGAAATGCAGTAATTTTGCTTCCTTGTTCTTCAGGATTATTTCTCATGGTACTGATGAGCCTGAGCATGTCTGAGTTTATTTAAACCAGAGGCTCTGCGAGGTCTTGCGGAAGTGGGCATTATATACTTAGCAAATAGAAAAGGCTTTATTTAAAACTCTCTACAGTCTTATTTAAACTGCCAAGCTAAAGCAGATAGGGGGAGCCCTTGGAGCAAATTAGCAATCCAGCGGCAGATTAATTATCCTGTTGCATCCGGATCTACCATAGAACTGACTTAGAATCCTCTAGTCTAAAGCCTTGGTCCCCGGGTGCTTGTCAGAAATGCAGGTTCTCAGGTCCCACCTGTCGAAAGCAGATTCTGCATTTTACCAAGCTCCCCCGGGGACCGCAGTACGCATTAAAGTCTGAGACAGACTGATCTTAAAAAACCTTGCACCTAACCCAGAGACCGAGGGGAACGAGACTGTGTGAAAATGGAAAAAGAAGGGAATCGCAAGGAAGCGTTCCCATGTTTCCCTAACACGTTTCCTTTTTCTGTTTCGTGAGCGGTTTCGAAAAGCGGCGGTTGTCGTGGCATGCTTTCGATGTAAACCATCTCCCCTGCAGAATTTCTGTTCATGTTTCTTTTTCCGTTTCGGTGAACATACCGTGCCTGCCTCGCCTGGCCCCTGTCGCTGCCTTCCTTGCTGACACGCTTGTCTCTCGTTTTCAGTCCTGACATAGCTCTCCCCGAGGAGCCGCCACATTCCAGCTCGCAGTGCGCCCCACTCCACTGTCTCTCCAAGCCTCCCGACCCCTCCTCTGCACCTCCCGCGGACGAACATCTGGGGTGAACGTTTTGTAGCCACACCCAGGACACTGCCCAAGACCCAGCTGCTGTTTGCTTCTCGGTGATTAGACGTTGTGGTGGGATTAATGCCCGTCACTTGGGAAGATGAAAGAAAGTTGAGAAGATTAACACAAAGCCCAGACTCCGGTGTGATACAACGTATTATGGTTTCTCTAAGTCACAGATGAACTTCTGCAACGAAATGGCCACAGTTCAATGAAATAAAAAACAAACAAAAAACACAGGACACGTAGCTCAGACGACTGGCTTTATCTCAATAGCATAAGAGAGACCTAAGACCATGTAAAATACATATATTGTAAAATCGTCCTTCCTCAAACGTCACATTCGGCTGTAGAAATTGATTCCACTGTTTTTTTCACCATTGGTATTTATTTTGTGCTTTTACTTGCCACATAGTTTATGTCTATAAAAATCATTTCTCTAAGAGGTGAACTTAATTCATTTATTTTTAAAGAAGTATCATTTGCTCCATTAAGTATGAGTTGCAATAGAGATTGAAATCTGGTATGGGCCAGACTGTGGACATTTTTCTTGCACAAAAATGATAAATGAGGTGCATTGGAATGTTAACAGTAACTGTATTTTGCTGCTACACTGATATTGTTTATGCACTTACTTTCTAATCAGCTCATTAACTGCTGGATTTTTTTTTAACTAGAAGTCTTCACTGGACATTAAGTAAATCTAAGAAAGAGACTATGTTATGATTCATTGACTTATTCAACTTTTGACGGCATCTTTAATTTTTTAAAATTGCAGATGAGTAGATGCACTGGTGCTGCTCCTTTGTGTGTGTATATGTGTGTGTGATGACGTTAAAGAAGGCTGAAAAACACGAGGGGGGAAATGGTGTGTTTATTTAATGACCAGAGTTTTTTTTTACTTCTCCCAAATTCAGGGTCCTCCTATGAGTCTTTCCCACTGAAAGGTATCAAATACAAATGGGGAAAATATATACATAGATAGATGTAAGTTCGCCTTCAGTTAATGAATTTACCCAGAAAGTGTTCAAATAGTGATTAAAATTGTATGTGTTGTTGTTGTTAGTTTTTTCATAATGAATCTTCCTTGCCAAAAAAAAACCAATAGATAATAAACCTTAGCTCATTGTCTACTTTTGACAAACACTCAGGTGCCTACAATCATATTATACATATTGAGATCATACATGTTCCTAGTTCATTTACAAATTCTGCTGGGTAACTTATGACTTGGTTTAAGGCAGTAGATTTTCATGGCAAAATTTAGTTTGCACATAATCTGACACACAAGGAAAACAGCTAATTGGGCTGAAAGGTCTAACACTCTTGGGCTCCTTAACTATCAAGTGCTGCCCACACAATTGCTCCTAGCCCTGATTCCTTGTCTAGTCAGGTAGCCTTAACTTATTTACAATCATAACGGTTTGACCTGTTCATGTAACAGTATCTGTAACTTCTCTTTAAAACAAACACAATCCTCACTGTTAACACAGAAGATGGTTAACAATACAGGGCTCTAATAATGAAGATCTCGTCAGAGCCACTCAGCCTATTGAGCGGGAGTGGGTGTAACATTGATGGAGTGGTCCATCGAGGATGGCGGCCAGTCGGTAAGTCATAAAGCACAGTGCAGGAGCTTTCATCAGTCATGCACCTGTGAGGTTGTGGTCACTATTACCAAAGCAACCAAGAGGTTTGTGGTTTCTTATATAGGAGTGCTATTTTCAACAGTGTCGTTTATTATGCAACTTGAAGTCGTTAGAAATCTTCACCATACATAGAGATTCAGGTTAAAGAAACAGAAAAAGAGACAAATCTTCATAAAGTCTCAATCGTGGCAGCCTACCCTTCTGTTTTCCCCCCACCTGCAATGGCCTTGCTGTTCCTGAACACCTTCTTCATTTTATTGGTGTTGTATCTGCCCTGTACCAGTATTAGTGAGACAGTGTGGATTGTATCAGAGTTCAATTAAAGGTAGCTTCTCCTCTCCACTGCTTTCTCTTTTTTCCTTTTTGTTCTTTCTTTTTTAAGTATTATGTGTGTGGACCTGAGAAGTGGTATAGCTGCAAAGCTGACTCTTAATAAAAACTGTTTGTGCCTGGGGGAAAATACGCCAATCTAAAAAGTACCTCCGAACATCTTTCTGTATTGCCTCATCAGTTTTGTTGCTGGTGCAGGGAATTCAGCAGTAAGCATTGTCTCTGTATAACTATAGAGCAGTCATCCCACTGACGGTGCAGTATTGCATCGTTGCTCTCTTTCTTGGTATTTATGCCCCAGTGAAAGGCCGGGTCACAGACAACACTTTTTTTTCTTCCAATAGAAATTTTATCAAGTCTATATTAATTTTTTTCAGTTCCTTTTTTATGGACAGAATGGGAAATATTTATTTTGAAACATCAATTCTATAAAAAGGTTCGTTTTAGCAAAACTTTGCCAAGAAGGTATAGAAACTTGGAAATAAATTTCTAATTTTCTGCACAAAATTAGGTCATAGTCCCCAAGCAGTAAGAGAGAATTCCATGTATTTACACTGTGGCATCATTTAGCATAGTTTGAACTCAGCCTCATCTATATTTATTTAAAATGAATAAATATGTGTAGCGCTGATAAAAAAATCAGTATACCTGTAAAGAATATCATGATTGAAATTGAAGTATTAGTGGAAAAAACAAAAACAAAAAAAACCCCTCATTAAACCCACTTGAAGAGAGATGTGGGGGAAAAAGACTACAGAAATACAAAAATACCGGCTAATTATTTCAAACACAGTGGGCAAAGATTAAAAGTAACTAGCAAGTGTGGTTAGCAGAGTAACCAGGTAATTTTTAAAAAGTAAGCACAATTACCACACTGAAAAGGACAATATGCAGAAATGCTTTCTACTGAGGATTGTTTTTAGTTAAATGATAAAATAAAAAGGAGCGATATCTTGTCTTTGGCCTGAGGGCCCAGGAGCATACAGGACCCCCGGATTAATCTTTCCAATCATATCCCTTCCATCCAATTCTGTTTCAATAAGAGGAATTTGGATAACTTTGAGAAGTCAAAGTTGTTAAGTAATTAAGAGAAGACCTATTCAGAAAGATTAAACTTTAGCCTAAGGAAGACGTAGACTATTGATCTGCAAGAAAATGTAACCAATGATAGATACCAGCTATCGACATTGTTATTAAGACTAGAATAAGAAAAACAGTCTTCAGTGTGAGGGATTTATATTAACTTTAGGAAAGAGATTCTTAACAGTGGTAAATTAATATCAAAATTGATAATTATGATGATTTGTTTTTACAAAATTAAATATTTATTGTCCAATAAGGATTAACTTAAGTGGTAAGATATCTTATGATGATGTATTAAAATTCTAGGATTTCATAATCCTATTAATCATTTATTTTAGATTTAAAAATAAAGTATTCTGGTTAGCCATAAAATATTTTATTCCTTGAAAGTAGGATAGCAATCCTAATTTTTCCAAAATATTTGGTAAAAAATAAAACAAGATTGTTGGTATTTTTTCTTGCAGCTATATTTCATATCTTTAAAGTTATCCAGAATATAGTAATTTTACTATAAAAAGCCTCAATTGTCAGTCTAAAAAAAAACAAATGTCCTCAGGAATACTTTGGAAATAGAAGGTTCGCATTCCCTTAAGGGGGTAAATGCCTCTCAAACATTATCTTTTCTTAAAAGAGTCTTCAATCTACAACATTTGCTTTTCCCAGGCTTTGGAAAATATCCATGTACAGATAGTCCTTCTGTCTCAAACAAGCATGAAATGTCGATCAAATAAACCATAAATGTAGACATTTCCTGATATTCTGCATTAAATAAAATCCTCTGCAGTCTCAAATGGTAATTACAAAATGTAAAAACGAAAAATGAAATCTATTTTCTACTGTGATAAGAATGGCAAGCTTAATGTATAATTGTTCTGTTCCATCAGCCAAAAGACATAAACTGTCTCTCAGAAAGGCACATCAGGGGAAACATGGATTTCCAGGAAGCAACTGTGCTGGTTCAACCAAGGTTGCCACAAATGCACTGATGTTGCAGATATAAAGCAGGACTAGGTTCAAAAGGAACTCTTAGAGAAAAGTTCGTGATTTTAAATATTGGCCTATAACTTATCTGTTTATGAACCAGAGTGTTTTTAAAATAGTCCTTGTATTTAATATCACAAACTATGTTTCCACATAAAGGGAAGAACATAATTCTTCAAAAAGCTGTTGAACTGGTGTAGTGATAGGTAGTATAGCGAGTGCTGATATTGACATAATTTCCACCTTAAAATCAATTTCTGTGGACATACAAGACTAATCTAGCTTCTGAATGAACTTTTCCATTGTCTGTAATAATGCCTCCAGATGAGTGGTGTCTGAAATAGAATTCAACTTATTTTAAATACCAGGTTAACTGCCATTGTTCCTGATGTATTTCATTTGTAACCTGATTCTATTATTTAACACCTGAAAGGTTTCCTCTAGACATCTCTTCTATAGTTTTTACTCAAAGTATAACTGAAAAAAGATATTTAGTATTACAATATGTTCCTCAATCAAGGATTTTTCCAGAAATAATCTACTTACGAAGAAGAGCAGCAATGAACTGCCTTTAGTGTAAGGGTATGAGTGCACAAAAGTATGCCGTGTAAAATGTTTGCATGAGATATTTCGCATCATGTAAGCTTTCCCATATTCATAATATGAACAGTATAGAAGTCTTATTTCTTGTGATTTCTCCATTAGGAATGTAAGGAGATTGTTACCTATATCTGGTCTCCTTTCCATATTGAAATGCATGGCTCTAATCAGTATATTTTTATTCCTTTCTCTGGAGTTATTTAAATTTTGTCCTCTTTAAACTGAAACCTGGATAAACTGCTGAGCCAGGTTACTTCTGCAATTGGAGTTTACTTGCTGTGTAACATTGGTTGAGAGCACATTCTGATTTTAACTTTTTTTCTTTCAGAATGAGTCTCTGATCATTACGGTTGAAAACACTGAGAAGAAAATCTGTGTTCTGGTGTGACTATTTTTCTTTTTTCAAAGTCTTTTTAAAACAAAGATCAGAGAACTATAGAGAGAAATTCCATCATTTTGTTGACAAATCATTAGTCGATAATAATGGAGATATAGAATGAATCATTTTGTTGTTTGGGTTCATAGTATGATTGTGCACCAAAACTTAGAGAAAGTAAATGACTTTAACATCATTGCCATGACATTTTTAAACTGGATGGTTTGACTGTTAGAGTCAATTAAACAATTCTTTGAAAAACTTTTATGATATTTTTATAATCTACACAGTGTTTTTATTTGCACGATTATGTATATGGGATGAACTGTACATGATTCTGCTACTGTGTTTCTTTCCAGCATTAACATTTGTGTAATGTGTGGCCAACCCCGATTTGTACACAGTATGATTACTGTTGTAATTATTCTGCTATTTCCACCTTTAATTGCAATTTTGTTATTATGCCTTTTGGGGATAAATGATGTGAAACATTTCCACATAATGAGAATATCATATAAAAACATGACTAAAAGGCTGACCTAAGGAAGTATTTTTAATAATTATTGCTAATTATTTTTAAAAATTCAAATTTCAAAGGAAACTTGTTCTCAAAGTAAATATATGCATTTATTTTAAATTCAAAAAATTCCTTATTAATTTATCATTGCTTGTCCTTTTTCATTTTTTTTGTTTTAATTGTAGACAATCCTAAGTGAATGCCTCATGGGAGAATCCATATATGTGCTTGCATTTCTGTAATCTGATCATGCACTCAAATGGTTGGAAAAGATACTCCAGTGCTAAGAAAATAACTGAAGCCAATATATTAGTTCTTATATCTTGGTTTATGTTACCAACTGAATATGGTGTAATGCATAACTCTTCCCAGTAAATAAACTGGTTATCTTTTGTTCATTTCATCTATGTTACCTTTTTATCAGTTTGAGCAACTTCTCTTTGATTTGTATTTGCAAAAAAAGTTTATGAATTTCTACATGATTTATATATTTGTTCAAAGTGAGCACTTATTTGAACTAAAAACTGTATGCTTTGCTTTGACATGTCTGCACATTCCTTATTAAGAAACGTGTATCACCTTTGCCCATTTTCTCCATCTATCATCTCTCCTCCTTGTAATCTTTGCTAAAAGGTTATTTCAGCAAGAGGCTACACTTAGGTGAATTAGATCAGGAATGTACCAGCATGAAAGAAATACCTGTTCTGAAAAGAGAAACATTCTAATGAAAGAAACATGATTTTAATGAAAGAAGAACGAAGATTGTATGCTTTATTTGGGGAGATAATTCTTCTTTGTTCTCTTTTACGTGAAGGAACTGCGGAGTCCCAAAACTTTGAGAAAGTTCATTTACTAGCTCCTTATTTGAAGAACAAATATGTGTTGTAGCAAATCAGCTGCTGTTGGGAGTCCTGTTCTTTGACTTGATATTTAAAGAGGTGGGGAACCAGACAGAATTGGATTTCTGTGAAGTTCTCATGAGTTGAAACCTCTAATGCAATCCTCATTATAATCCACCATGGGCACTGCAACAATCCCAGCTAAAGTTGACACTTGCCTGTTGTATAAAATACTAGAAATAATAGCATAAACTTTCCTAAAAATCTCTCCTTTTTTCTCTTCTGAAAGATACTGTTTTTCTTTGAGGTTGAATCTACTAGTATAAGTCTATGTGACCCTTGATCTTCTCTTATGCAATAAAACTGATAGTGTGTTACATTCAAAAGCTAAAACAGCTGGACCAGCCTCCAGGAGTGTCAAGAAAATCTCTTCTCATCCCTACATTTTTCAGGAGACTTGGGTAGCACTATATTGTTGTGAGGGCCATGTGACGGGTTTCTGCAACCCCACTGTGGGTAAGAAAGAGGCCAAAATTGATGGGAACTTGTGTAAGGAATTTTCTTCATTTTTGGTTGTACATGCATTAACTAGTACATTGTAGGAACTCAATAAAGTGGGTTCTTTGCCATCTAGCTTTTCTTATAACACATCTGGAATTGAATTATAGAACCTAACGTCACCTACAATGATGTCAGCAGGTACTAAATACCAACTAATTGGAGGAAATGGTCGTTAAATTAAGTGAATGATTATTCCTATGATTCTTTGTCAATCTAAAAACTAGATTTCTAACATTGTATTTGAAATTATCTGACAGAGTTCCTTCTTAAACATTTTATGAATCAACTATGACTTAAATATGTTAAGAAGAAACTGAGAATAATTTATCTACAACATAACTGTCAAGGAAGATAAATCTCACTGGCAAAAATATTGCCAGTGTCAAAAGTAAACACAATTTATAATATAATTTAAATGTAGAAAGCAATGCAAAGATAAATCATAACTCTAGTGACATCCTGTAAATAGTAAAAGTGTTGCAGCTGTCTACATAATTTGTGAGACTCATTGAAAATGAAGATATGGATCTCCTTGTTCAAAAATTATTAAAAATTTCAAGACAGTGGCAGTAAACTAAGCAGGGGGTACTAAGCACGAGCCCTGTGTGACCAGACAGGTCCGCACGCCCATGAAGTCAGCCTTGCCCCAGACTGTGCTGAAATAATGATTCAGGCCCTCAACAATGCACTTAGCTATCCAGGATCTGGCTTTATTTTTAACAATGGATTTCCCGGTTTCTGTGCTTAGAAGAAGAAAATAATGTGTTTATGTTCTTGGAAAAAAATTAATGCTATTACCTCAAAGACTTAATAAAGTTGAATCTTGCAATACTCCCACATTCCAATGCAGCTTTTCAACTCAAAATTTCTAGAACCTCATGTGTCAAGTTGTAGAGAGATTATAAAAATCATTAAAACTTCAAAATACGAGCAGTAAACATTTTAATTAGTGCATATTAAAGTAAACCTAATGTAAGAACCCTACTGATACGTTCATAAGTTGACTTCCTTTGACATTTTAAACTATTAATAATGTCCATCAAATGTCACAGGGTGATTTACCTCATTTAAAAGAGCTATTAGTCCAAGATTAATGTCAGTCATATAAACTTCTTTCCCAAATAAATTAAAGGAGAAACAAGTTATTCACCACATTGAAATCCATTGACACTGAAAATATCGGCTCTCGTTATAGGAAGCACCCTATATGTAAGAAATGGAAAAAAATAAGAACATACTTTTTTCTTGTTTTCCATAAAGTAACTGTGGAAACCTATAGAAATAGTTACCTGTAAAAGAGCAAAGGGTTGATGGGAGGGAATGGGGGTGGGAGTGAAGAGGGGAGTCAGTAGGTGATTGATTATCTTTTTATAGTTTCTATTTCAGCCATGGAAATATAGTATCTATTCAAAAGTCCTAGATAATAAAGAGCTAATATGCAAATGGTCATCATGCCCTCGAGCCCTTGTGCCCTCGAGCCCTCACGCTGGGGCCGAGGGACCTGAGGCCATGCCCCCTGCCCTGGCACCAGGCCGGAGGACCTGAGGCTGCACCCCCTGCCCAGCGGGGCTTGACGGGGGTGGGGCTGGCTGGGTCTGGGTCTCGCGAGATTTCAAGGTGCGTGTGGGTGAGTGGGGACTTGACACTGGGTCCTGTGGCGTGCCCCAGACTCTGACAGGAGGAGGATTTTCATATACATTTTACTAATTTTCTTTCATCTCTAAAACTTCTATTATAGAGAAAGGGCAAATAGCAATATTAAAATATTTCCTCTAATTAACTTCCTTTTAATGTGCACAAATTTCGTGCACCAGGCCGCTAGTAAGAATACAAAGAAATATGGGCTCTCAAATATTTCATAGTGAAGTCAAAAATAAAAATTAGCATGAATTCTAAAGAAATAATTGTTCTAAAGCAGGCTGTCAGCAGAAGTGTTTTTTATAAAGCATGGAATTTTGTGCAAATTTTAGCCCTGGCACTTACCATCTCTGAGATCCTGGAAAGGCACTTAACCTCTCCAACCCTCAACTGTCTCATTTTTAAAATGAGGTAAAAATGCCTAACTGACACGGTTATTGCAAAGATTAAGTAAAATACATATGTAAGATCTTTCAAACATATGTTTAAGCTATTTTTCAAACAGTGTTTAGCCTTTGGTAGCCAATAGTATTTCCAATAACACAGTAGCTGCCACTATTAAAATCCTATATGATGAAATTTATTCATTCACTTATACATGCATTAATTCACAAATATTTATTGAGAACCTATGTTATGCCAGGTATTGCTCTAGCAGATTAAGGTGTGTCAGAAAACAACACAAAGATGGTTTCCTGCCTTTTTAAAGTTTGTATCATATGTAGCAATGAGGGAAAATATAAAAAATAGTAAACATGATAAATATGTAAAAACCAAAGTATATTAGATAGTGAAACTTTTGTGGAAAAAGAAAAAAGTAGAAGAGGGAAAAGAGGTTGTGCCGGGAGAAAGCGAAACATTGCGTTATGAAGTGAGGCGGTCCGGTTGGATCTTATTTGCTTCAGTTTTTAAAATTATTAAATTATATATCTTGTTCAAATTTTTAGAAGTTATTATCCATTTAAAAATATCAAACAGCAATTCACATTAAGCAATAGCATTTTAAAAACTAGTCTTTTAAAATGTTCTGATAATTTGAAGTAACCATTTTAAAATATGCACATATTTTATTTCCTGTCTATGTTGCTTTAAAAGTCCCAATATTTATTTTAGAAATAGATATGCTTTCTTGGAGGTTTAGGGCATGGGCATGCCCATTTATACTTCTCTAATAAAAATTTTAGTCAAATAATTTTGTTCAATAATCTTATTTATAACTGTCAATTCTAATGAACTGGAATTGTATAAATAATTTTTAAAATAAGTCATAATGTTGTTTTTCAATACAGAGAGGGGCAAAAGTAGGTTTACAGTTGTTGGTATGGAAAATAATACAATAATTAATAATTAATAATATAAGGATAAACTGTGTTTCATGTACTTGCAACTATAACCTACTTTTGCCCCACCCTGTACATAGTCAGAAGCTAAGCTATGTTTTCTTCTAATCCTTAATTCCAACTCTCCTTTTTCAATGATTCTTTCATCCAAATTTTCTAAACATTAGAGCTGTCTTTTAAAATATACGCTCACAAACTTTCTTCTTAATACAAAGGTAAGTTTTGCATTAACTTGCTGCTGAGTGTAACCATTTTTCTTCAGATGTGTATAGATTCAGACTTCAGGCTTGGCTATTTCAGTAGGATTGGCAGAAAGTAATATATATTTAAAATTGCTTTTAAAAATATTTTCATGAATAATTGCCCTAATCCTGGGTAACAATCTATTGGAAAATAAAGGCTATGCTACTAAATATATGTAATGTGAAAAGGGCCTCATCAAATTACATGCCTAGGTAAGTATGTATACTTAATATAAAACAAAGATGAAAACAAAATTGAACTGATGAAAATATTGCCTATTACAAGTCTAATTATCTCCTGTGAGAAGTTTTTTAATGTCACTTCTTTCTAGCAGATGCAAAAATAAAAGCTGGCTTGAATTCAGGTATAAATATAATAATGTGATTTTGATTACACACATCAAATAAGTCAGAGATTGTTCCTTAAAAGTGTGCTTTACCTGGAAAACAGCCATCCTTTGGACTGGACCATGGTAGTCTACAATTGCTTGTAAGATCCTTTGATTCCCACATGTCATGATTGGTGGGAAAAACAAGATTTTTCTGAAATACTTCTTAGAAACACAATCTCATTGGATGTTGGATATTTTTAAAATCCATGTATGAATATATTGTGCACATTACTGTACAGTTTCTGTATATTTTAAAGGATATATGTGTGACATTTAAGGATATTTTTTGTTTAGTATATTTCATTAGAACTCTGTTTTGTTGGTTTTTAAAAACTTTTTTTTTTTAGAACTTTGAAAGTGAGATCAAATCAGGGAAATGGAATAATTAA